AAACCGTCCTTTAATAAATTTTTTTCCCTCGGGTTTTTTTAACCCCCTATATTAATTCCCCCTTCCCTTTTTTTTTTTTTTTTTTTTTTTTGGTTTTTAGCTTCTCCTGTTTGATTTTGTAGCTTTTGGACGTGTGACAACGACACACAGCGACAGAACGTACACAAAGAGTTACATGGATGAGATCAAAGGCTCTTATCACCACACTGAGGGTGGGAACGCCGAAGAAAAAACTACAGTGGAAATCCGCTTGGTGGAGAACAAGAGAATGTTTGTATCTAAAGCCCATCCAGACACGAAGAAAAATCAACTTCGGTTGCTTCAGGTTTCAGGTTTGAATGTGGAAACATTCAAACACAAACGAATGTTATTTTCAGTATCACTGAAAGTGTCTAAAGTTTAAGTAGGAAGGAAGCACACAAATGTAAGAAGAGTTTAAAAAGAGGGTATATTTTGTGCCAAAAATCCTAATTAGGCTGCAAAAAAGCAAAAGCAACTTTGGCAACCTTTTTGGAAATCTCAACGTGAAGGAACAGATCACTTCCCGGTGTGCTAGCTGTGCTAACGAGTAACATAAAATGCTAACACATAATCTGAAACAAAAGTCATTTTGTCTTTGTTTTATATCTAACACCTGTTTTAGAGAGGTTTTCTTCAAACCTCTCTCACACAGTGTGACGTCACTTCTGCTCCCACAGCACATATATAAAAAAGTATACGATTTTTGGTGCCCTGATAAATATGCGTAGAAATACGTAGACCTCAATGAAACTAATCACAATACATTTAATTTTTATTAGCAGCGTAACCTTGAATTAAAAAAAAAACTACCCCCAATTTGAGTACAATGGGGAAAAATGTAAATTGAATGCTAAAATCTGACGCTTCTCCATTTTAGTTTAGATTCCGAGAAGAAGGAAGGTGCGCTCACTGGATCTTCAAAAGTTTTTGTGTCTTTTCCTTCTTCAGTTGTTGGTGCAGCGCTGCTACTGGCGAAGAGGTTAACAGGCTTTTGAAACTGCTTGGCTTGTTTGACACAATGAACCACTGCAGCTGAATACGTAACAGCGACTTTGGTCGCCAGCCGAACCAAGTCTACAGGACCATCAGGTGTGAAAACACCTTCAGATGCCACTCACACCTGAAGAGTGTAAGAAAAAGGACTACATCAGTCTAAAATCAGTTTGTTTAAGCGTCTACTTACATCCCCCATTGCGTTGTGATTGGTCAGACTCGGGTAGGGCTACATGTAGTGCCACTGACCTTCCATGCCCATGTTCATGCCCATTCCACCCATCGGCCCTGGAGGACACAAAGAGGAAACGTAAAAATTAAAAATGTGTAGCCTCTGGCTGACTGTGTACAAATTTACTGTTGATTACTTCAAACAGGAAATTGTTCAAAGCAGACCGCACTTAGCAACAGTGTGGTTTCACTATGAAGCTAATTTGACAGACAGCATGGCAACAAAGCCCCGTGGATTTGGCTGGGAGAGGTGTGTGGAAGTGTTTTGAGGTGGGGTGCAGGGTGGTTAAGTCGGCCGGCAGTTTATCTAAACCTGCTGACTTCGAGTGGAGGCTGAGATTGGGTTGCAGACTTGAGAGAGAATCACAGAAAACAGGGGATAGAGGAGGAGAAGAAGAGCTTAAGGACAAACTCTGGGATTAAAGCTGATGGCGTGAGAGAGGGACTGAGTTTTAAGGGGAGTGGGAGTGAGGAGGAGGAGGATGGTGGTGTAATGTGATTGAGCACACCTGTTCTGGTGTATCCAGGAAGGAGGGGGAGGAAACGGTGTGTGTGTGTGTGTGTGTGTGTGTGTGCATATCTTTCTAAGTGTTTTTGGGAGTGGACATCCTGCTGTTTCTACCCAAAGCAACAAGCAGCGACTGCAAAAGTTCACAATAAGAGCTTTTCTGTCAGCGTGAAGATGAAATTAAACATCAACATGGCCGAAGAACACATCTACGTCTGAAGAAACGCAGAGGAGGACACAAAGGTTGACGAGGGCGAGGTGATGTTGGGAGGAAAATGGGTGGAAGCGAGCCAAAGAAACCCGCAGGAACAGACTGAAGACAGATAGGAGGAACAACAGAGTGAAGAAAAGGACAGACACGCAGAGAAAGCCATACCAGGTGGTCTGATTCCCATGTGCTGCTGGCCGTCCATGACGAAGCCACCCATTGGCTGGCCATCTGGATTGTAAGGAGCTCCTTGACTTACTGTGGATGCGGGAGAAGAAGAGGGAGGGAGGGAAGGAGGGACCGGTGGGAGGGAGCAGAGTGGTCAATTAGTCCTTTTAATTAAAGCTCAGTGGACGGTGCGGGATCATCTGTTGGCTGGTGCACGCACAGGAAGACTCTGCTGCCTTTCCACGTCACTCTGCTCCATGCTGCTACGGCTAGCTGTCCGCTGTAAGCCCCTGGTGGACTTTAACGCAGATAAATGCTCTAACAGGGATCAGAATGAGAGTTTAATCTACGCTATGGAACATTTAAGACACGGACCGACTTTAGTTTGAGGGATTGACTTGGTGAAATTTTATTTTGATGCTTATGTTGAGTTCTATCTAAATGTCAAGACTGCAGGATTCTGCCATGGGGCCAGAAGCTCTGAAAACAGTCGAGAAGTCATATGTGTCACCAAAAATGTAATATATTTATTTTAATTATTTGAAAGACCAACACAAAGAGGTGGATCGATGGGAAGCTAGTTTTCCAGATTGTATTTAGACTTCCCTGTCTGCACTAAGGAAAGCTACTTTTTATTTACGCTGAAATGACAATTAATACAGTTTGAGTATTGTGATTTTAATTTGGTTTCTTATTTAATGAAAACACTGAGGTTGTAAAGTTGTGTGGGGTTTTTTTCTTGCATTAGCGGTATACTCAAAGTTTTGCAAAAATTTGTAGAGGAAACGTCAAATGGGTCAACGAGGACACCAATGTCGTCATGACAGCGAAGGGTTATTAAACATGTGGACTCTTATTTAGTAATAAAGAGACTTTTGAAGACAAATTATTACACCAGATCTTATTTAGGGGCATATGAGTAAAGGGGTGCACATTTGAAACCTGACAACTCTATATCCCGTTCTTTCCGTTTCACTGTTTTACATTGTATTGGTCTACCATGTGAAATTTCAATCATTCAAATGTGAGATTATAACCAGAGAAAATATAAAAAAGTTTCAAGGGGGGTGAATTCTTTCATAAAGGCTAGTAAAAGTCTATGTGGCAAGATTCTTTGCCCAAATCCAGATTTAAATGTAATCTTATTTGCCTGCTGAAGCAGCCAACAGGTAGATTTTAAATGTCACATGCGGGAACATTTCAAATTTCATTTTGTAAATCCAAAACATTTCAGTGATTTCATTTTGACTGTCCCGCTTGACATGTCCAGCCACTCCAATAGATATTTAATAAAAGACACGTTGGCACGTAATACAGCAATGCTTTTAACGTAAACCGTTGCTGCCCCCCGATGTATAATTATACATACGATCAAAGGAGCAAAATGAGATCCAGGTTGAGGCCCGATCCGGTTTTCAACAAAAGTTCATTCTTACTGATTGGTCCCAGAATCTGCTCCTATCTTAATACTTTATCTTATAAATACGGACTAAAACTGAGCAGCAAGAATATGTGCAACCCGATCCGGTTCCTTATTTTCTGCACCCCTCCATTGTTCTGCTCCCATAGAAAGCCACTTACCTTCGATTTAGGCCGTTTGGCGGCCAGTCAAGCAAAAGCAGGACCTCGGCCCCACTGAATGCCTTTGAACTTTACTACCCCCCCCCAACCACCCTACCCTCTCCCTTAATGCCACCATGACCTCTCACCCCTATTACAGGTAATAAAGTTTACAGCAGTCCAAAACCAAGCCATGCACCAGGGGGACTGCTCACTCCTTCCCCCCTTGCTCCCTAAAACAGCCGCAAATAGAGTGGAGGGAGGGTGTTTAAAGGAGTTGGGAGTTGCGGGGTGGAAGGGGTGGGGGTAAAAACAGGCCCAGAGCCAAAAAAGCCAATCAGCGGTCAAACCAAAAAAAGAAACGGGCGTAGGTCTCTCTAGGTTATAGTTTGAGCCTTGGTGGAGGATTTGTTTTTCTTTTTTTCTTTTTTTTTTACTTTGTACCTGTTTGGTGAAAAGGGGCAGGAAGGGGTTAAGAACAAACTATTCTGAGAACACAGCTAGCTTTGTGAGCAGGATAACAAGAAAAAAAAAGTCTCTCATCATTAATGAGAGCTGGTCGTTTCGCCGCTTTGCCATTTCATACTTTGGCAGCTTTAGTCGTCTCCAATGCTGGGATTTTGTACCCATCTTGGAGTTGTTTTTGTCCTGACCACAAATCAATTCAAAGCCACCATAGGAACGTTTCGTGCAAGCCATGTATCAATTTGTACCTAGTTTGTCATCCATGGGTAAATCTGACGTCAGGACTTGTCCAAATTGTTGGCAAATTGTAGGAAAGGCCAACATGCGGGTACAAAGTAGGGTTACAAATTGGCAAAGAGGTGAATACTTTACTTTTTCACTCCACATGGCACATCACGGTTGATTAATGGTTGCTGTTAATGTCGAGATATTTCGCCTTTTAACTTTATTGGTCAGTACAGAGGGAAGGGGGGGAATTCCCTGAAGGATTTGGACATTCCAAGAAGGGCGCATCAGTCCCGTATTTACCCACTGAGAGGCCTCTGGGTGCATGGACTCGGGCTGGCTTAAGCCTGTGCGACTTGAAAACAGTAACTATAGGAGACTTGCCTGCACGGTTTGACTGGTCGATCATGGGCTGCACTATTCTCCTCCGCGCATTAATGAACCTGCAGAGAGCGGGGGGTGAGGGAGGGACGGAGGGGAGGAGGAGAGAAAAGGAAGGAGAGGAGACAAAAACACAGAAACACAGTCAGAGCTTTACTCAAAACAAGATTAAGGGGGGGAAAAATGCTGACTAATACCCAGAAGATCTTGGCAGGCAGCACAAAAACCACCACATTTCCAAAGTCGCCTTTTTCTCTTTAGAAAACCATAACAGTGATAAGGAGTAATTATTCTCCCATAAGTGACGCTGAGCCCCAGTAAAGCTGCTGCAGAGCAACAGCGAAAGTCACATCTTAACTGCCTCAGTTATTAAAATAGTTGTCTTTGAACAGTCAGGGACTCCAGAACTTGTGGAAACCTGCCTAAAAAAAAAAAAAAAAAAAAAAAAAAAAAAAAAAATCAAGAGTCAGCCTGAACACTGGGGTCTTTGTGGAGGCAGGATCTTCTCTCTGTGCCTGTCTGGAAACATTGCGACCCGTCTCTTTTTATCCGCCTCCCGACGGGCTGATATTGCTGACGGTTTAACACGCTCGGCTTCGAACACGGCGGGGTGTTGCTGACGGAGACGCGTGGCACGTTGCCTCTGGTGAGAGGCATTGTTTTTATCCAGTGACAGGTGACCGTGTGTTACTTCTTTTAGTCTGTGCGGTTTTTGTGCACTAACCTCTTCATGACCTCCTGTAAAAGTGCACAATCAAACCATTGGTATTTCTGTCCTTAATAGGACACGGTCTTGAACTCTGTTCATTTTTTTTTTTTTTGTTACTCCATTAGTGCCTAACCCCAACATCACCCTGAACTTAGCCATTGTCAGTACATAACTCAACTCTTTCACACCTTACCTCTAACCCTTAACCCCAGGAATCTGGTTGGGCTTTTGCTGCCTGTAAGGACTATTGCTTCTAAAGAAAGTAAGGGATTGTATCAGAAGAAGTCTTGAAGACATAAAAAGTACAACTGGACCTGGTAAGATACAAATAAATTTTGCTGGATGATAAATTGTCCCAGGCATTATTGCGATAAACGATAATATTGTTGCTGTGAGACGATTTCCAAGTAATATTACAGTAATGGCATAATAGTGCAAGAACACAGTCTCAAAGATCAATAAACAATGGAACTGGAAGACATTTTAAATATCCAAAATAATACAACAGAAACAACAAATAAAATGAATTGTGAAGTTTCTATGAAAAAAAGTCGTCCTTCAAAAAAATGGCTAGTTGGGACCAAATCACCAAACTGAAGACTTTTGTCATCCAGTTTTTGGTAAAAAAAGGGAGAGAAAAGTCAGAAACGATAACTCGTAAAAAACAACAACATTGTGACACTAAAACTGGGACTTGGTCACCTTTAGTCTTACTGGTCTTCAGAAAACATCATGACACTGAAAAACACCCCAAAGAGGCAACACAAACAAACACAAACTCATTTTTAAAACAGTTTCTTGCACTTTTATCACACACAGAGTTAATGCCTCTCCTGGATGTATTCACACCTATTAATTGTGCATGTTCACATAGGGACCGATCTGGCCTCTGTCAGCCTAACCCCTTCTGAAATGACCCCTTGGCCTATAATGACCCCAAGGAGAGAGGACTCTCGGGGGGCTTCTGACTTGATTTATGTGTTCCTGCTGTTGCCCGACCGGACACTTCTGTTTCATCTCTGAAAGGGGAGGGGAGGGGGCATAAACCGAACTTAAGGGGGGGAACAATGGTAGTGGGAGACTTTTTAAAAAGCTGGAAAATGAAACGTTTATGAGCTCAGGGTATGGGCGAGAAGGGGAGGAAGGAGACAAAGGGACGCAAACATGCCGCATCTGTTTGGACCCCGAAGAGCGAGGGGAACTCCCTTGCTTTAAATTTCTTTAATATTCCCTCATCAGAAGTGCTTTTGTGTTCCTCCTCGGTTTTATGGTTTGAAGACGGACCTGCAGGGAATTAGGGAGACAGAGGATGGCAACGCGAGACAGTAAAAAAGAACGATTAACAGCCTTATTGTTTGCTGGTATTTTCTTTACAACTGTTATGTCCTTTATTGCAAAAACACAAACTCTTACCAAGTATTTCTGGTCCAATTTCTAATACAAATGCCTTAGTATCCTTAAAAAACAAAGACAAATCTGGCTTATATGTCACTTTTCAGGAAGATATAGAGCTTGTTTTAAGTCAATAATTACTTGATAATGATGAAGAAGTATTAGTTCGTTTTACAGATCATTTCACTTATAACATGGGAAAAATGTCTTGATAGAAGTGAAATAATCTGCCAACACTTTATCAATATTATGAAATTATTTACTAAAAACAAGCTCCTATTTCTTGCTGAAAAGTTACTTGAAGTGTACAAAGATACTTACTCTAGAAACTAGACCAAAAAAAGATCTTTGTGGTTTTGCTGCGTTTAAGCTGCCTCAGAAACACTTCTTGTGAATAGAAGCAAAAACAACATAATTGGAAGTGGAGCTGGTAGCAGTTTTCCTTCTATATTTGCTACATTTGCCGATATGGAATTTCAAAGGAGAGAGGAGAAAGAAATCTAAAAAGAAAAGGGAGGAATGCAAGAATGCACTGACATGGCAGAGCACCATCAAATGAGGGAACGTCTGGAGTTTTATCACCAATGCTTGCTCTCTCTCTCTTGTCCCTCTCCCCACCAACCGTTACCCTGTTTTTGCTGGGGGGGTGAGGAAGATATGGAAGGCGGAGGAGGAGGAGCGAGGGTAAAGAGGGTTGAGGGAGGCCTGAGCATTCCTTTAACTCTCTTCTCCTCTGCACTTCAAACCCTTCGCAGAAGGGACGAGGTCATCCTGAGGCCAGCGCTGGCTAAGGATTGACCTCTTCTTCTTCTTGACGTTCCCCAATGTCTCCTTGCATCTGTTCTCGCTCTGCTTTGCCCCTTCTTTTCCTTCCTCTTTACGTCTTGCGTGGAAAGTTAGGCAATCAGCTCGAAACTCGACGTCAGTTCTAAGAACTAAACATTTTATTGCGTTGGGCTCGCAACTCTTGAGCAAGTTCGGCTCTGCCTATCTGTATCTGCTTCCTCCTCCAGCTGGCTCTTGCTTATCATCCTTTACGGTGGAAAATGGCAAGCCGACTCCCTTAGCAACGAATCTACAGTCTGACCCTGCACACTCCCTCCGCCTCTCAGAAACCCATGCCGGTTTCCTGTCCCTTTCGTCCCTGTATCTGCGGCCAGATGCACCATGGGGCCTGGAACAAAGGATAAAATGCCTCTCTTAATAGCAGCCGAGGGAATGGAGAGATGGAGAGAAAGAGAATAGGAGGAGTGAGAACGTCTGAGGGGGTGAAAAAAGAAAAAGCAAGGGGCTCTGCAAACCAGACACTCTTGCTGTGCCCGTTAATAAGCCGTCGCAGAGAAAGACTGGAAGAGAAGATGAAAGAGTGAAGAAGAAGAGGAGGGGAGAGAGAAAAGAAAACCAGAGTGAAGCTTCACCTTTGCGCGACCCCCCGGGTGCTACAGGGCCGGTGTTTATGGCCTGCTCACTCCCCGGCCTCCCATCCAACACAATGAGCTTCACTATCCCGCCTGGCGACTGGGCGACAATGGCCGGGCTATTTTGGCGTGACACGCCGCCGCTGGCAGTACGCATAAAGTTGGGTTAAAAAAAAAAACACGGAAGAGGGAAGACGACTTGCGAAGGTCGGGGAATCCATCACACTCTGAATGCCATCAGAGGTCAGGAGTTGGAGTCCAACCAGGGACGCACATGTTTGACATACGAATGAACCGACGGAACAGTGGATCCAAAAACATGCCAACCAGATGCCAGAACCAGAACCAGAACCACTGAACTGTTGTTGAGAGACTGGGTTGGATTTATTGTGTCTGTATCCAACGTTATACACAAAGGGTTTGTAAAAGTATTCATGCCGCTTTAACTTTTTCACATTCACTCATGGTAAAAAATCCTCCTGCATTTTCATCTGTTTATGGAACAGATCAAACTAAAGTGGTTCACACTGTTCATTACTGCAACAGGTCAGTCAGAACCCTGCTGATCGTGTTCTCACTAGAACCAGGAGGGTAGAAAACATCACCCCAAATCTGAAGTCCTTCCTCTGGCTTCATGTAGCTCAGAGGCCTCAAATGACTTCTGTTAGTTTATAAATCACTGAATGGCTCATTACCACAATACATTAAAGATCTACCGTTGTCGTAGCAACCTTCCAGACCTCTCAGGTCTTCGAGTACCGGTTCTGCTCTGCATGTCCAGAACCAGAACCAAACACAGAGAAGCAGCATTCAGCTTCTATGCACCACAAATCTGGAACACACATCAGGAAAACTGCAAAACAGCTGAAACACCGAGTTCCTTTAAATCAGTTCAGTTTCCTTTGATTAGTAGTATCTGGAACATTGTTTGACATACTTGATGTGTACTGATGGTTTTGATAATGACATTTGACAAAATATTTGTTTCATAATCGGTGATTGTATTATGTTTTTATGATGTAAAGTACTTTGAACTGTCTTGTTGATGGAATGTGATGCAGACTACTCACAAACGTATGGTTTTCAAGATATGTACATCTACAGACTGATATTTGAAAATTCTTTGTTTGCAAGGAGTGTTTAGTTGGGCATCTTGTTTTAAAGCGTAACCATCTAATCACCTTCCTTGTCTTTGCCAAAGGACGCCTTCCACACAGCATGATGCTGCCACCACTGTGTTTAGGACATTGAAAGTTTTTTTTTCATTTTCTCTTCCCCTTCATTGGTTTAGACAAATTAGGTGGATTTGGAATGCTATTTTTTATCGGCATCAGAGCAAAAGGGTTTGAACAACAAATACACGCCACACTTTTCAGATCTTTAAACCCCCCTTAGCTGCCATCCCAAAAACACTTACATGAATGACAGTTAGGGTTTTAATCTTTAAAAATAACGCATCATTTTTTATTCCACTTCACAATTATGCGTTACTCTGATAAACTACATTGAAGGTTGAGGTTGTGGTGTGACAAAATGTGCAAAA